TGTCAGAGGTGCACACCTGTACAGGTAGGGACTGTAGACGCAGCTCCACGGTGTCTCTCCTGGGGAGGGTGGGGGGGGGTAGGGAAAGAGTGTGTGGAAGCAGAAACATAGAGCAAATGACCTGATCTGTCTTATAAGTCTCCATCCATCTAGGCAGAGATCATTTAGAAAGTGTAGGATACACCAAATATTAATTAAAACTGGAGGTTAATTTCTGTGGTTGAACCTAAAGGGGTATATTTAAGCCTTGAAGCCTAGGTGTCACTTCTGCATACCTCAGAGCAGAACCAGAAGTCTCTTCGTGACCATGCATGTGAAAATGGTGAAGCAAAATGGGGAGGCGTTGTTTCTTCCCAGACATTTTGGAAACTCAGACCTGGGAAACTGTTAGGAGTGGCCTGGAGTGTCAGTCACATTCTCGACACATAGTAGATGATCAAGATGGATTCGTCTATAAATTTTTTAATTCCACAATGCTAACTGTTGCAACAGTCATTGCAAGACACTTTGGGGGCTCTACACCCTCCATTCAGGAATTCACTGGTCCATCGAGAAAACGTACACATGCTCCTCTCACAGGTCACGTGTTGTCATGGTGGAGCCACTTGTGCCGTCAAGACCTCGTTCCTGCTATAAAGGCATTTGGGGCACCCAAGGGACATGTGAATACATCGCAAATATGTGCCACCAAGTGCCGGGGCAGAAGAAGACACAGGATGCAATGAGGATGGGGCTTACGAGAGGCAGGAAGGGCAGTGGAAATGATCTTCAGGTGTTTGTGGGAACATTGGAGAGAGATGCGATTCCAGGAGAGCAGGCAGAAGGGCAAAAGCTTAAACACAGAGCCTGTTTTTCTTGGAAAGTCACGGTGGTATGAGAAGGTCCATAGAGAGAACTGATCTCTGTTGGATGACGTTGACAACATTTAAATATGAGAATACTTTTCAGACAAATACCTGCTCCGTTAAGGGTTTTCAGTCCAGGAATTCCTCATGTGCTTGTGCGGACGGTGAGAAAATAACATGTTTATCTTCTGAAATAACATAAGAGCATTTAAAATCAGGTGACCTGTGGGCAACTTGAACTATTCAGGCAGTCATGGAGTAGCATAGCATAGACATATTTTAATTCTCAGCTATGGATTCTGCACGTGTAAGAGAGAATGATCCATGTGGAAAGGAGGTTTGGAAAGTTTGTTACTCAAAGTGTCTCCCCTTGGAGGTTGTGTGTACTTCATCCCTGATGACAGAAGGAGGGTAGAGGGTTAATCTTAGAAAAAAATGTCAACGAAGCTGTGACCAGTACATGTAGAAATGCATGACTGAGAAGTGCAGATGTAGTTATGAGACTACTTGGCTTTCATGGGAAGAGCAAGAGTTTCTTTGCCAGTTGTGCCAATTCTGTTTTATAAATGTCTGTCCTTGATGGCTAAGCTCTCTGTGTCTCACTATGATCCAACATTTTCAGCCTAAGCAATGTCACAGAACCACACTCAGCCTTATAAGTACAGCGGTCCAGCTGATGTTTATAAAAGCATCATGATGACAAAGAAGTCCCCAGTGCCACACTCTGCATTGTGACCTTCAGCTGATGGTGATTCCAACTCTATGAAATATCCACCCCAGGAGGCAACATAAATTCCTTTTCAAGGAACAAAATGTGTTATATCCTGAACGATACTGATATGATCAGAAGACATTTCAAAAACAAGCTTCTGAAATCCACAGAAGATTGTAGAATTGTTCAAGAAGTTTCTGCATGTGTGCTCTATAGGTGGTTCCAGTCCAACCACAATGTGTGCTTCCTAGGGGCCATGGGGGCTTCTTGGTGTTCTCCCCATGGCTGGATAGCATTCTGGAGTTCCAACAGATGCCCAGCTAACACTTGCCAAATAGCTGAAGGAGTGACTGGCGTCCACGCTCATGGCCAGCACAGTCTAGAAAGCATGTCCTCCACAGAGAGAACGAGTGATGTCCTTAGACCACTTAGGGGACTGTGGCGACCCCCATCCTTCGGAAAGCTCCTGAGTGAGGGAGGAAGACCCCCTGAAGGAGCCCAGCTAGGTCTCGTTGTTCAGTCGCTCCGTCGCATCCGACTCTGTGAGACCCCACGGAAGGCAGCAGGCCGGCTACATAGAGAAAACTAGGAAACAGTGCTGGGGCAAGAGCGTGCCGGAGGCACCTAAGAAGGTCGCCCAGGAAGTAAGAATTTCACATCACCCTCCTTTTTTAGGACACTCAGTAAATAGAAAGCATGTTTTTTGTTTTTTGTTTTTTTTTTTTTGCATTACTGCCGTTATGAGTAAACCCTTGTCTGGAGGAGCGTCACCAAACAGGCAGCACAGCTGAGTCCTCATTAGCAGGCCCTTCGGGAGCACTGGGATGACCTCAGGCCCTTAGCCCTGTGACACTAGACGTTTCATCACACCCACAGTTACCCATTATTCATGAATTTGAGCAAAGAAAAAGTCTGTGATACGGTTCTCAAGAAGCAAGGAGAGATGTCAGCGGTTGTAGGCAGGGACTGTGGGTCTGTCCTGGCTTCCCAGGGCTGCCCTCAGCAAGCCCTGCAGACTCAGCGGCTGACACAACAGAAAAGTGTTCTCTGACAGTTCTGGAGGCTAGAAGTCCTAGCTCGAGACCTCTGCAGGTTTGGTTCCTTCTAAGGGCTAGAGAGGGTGTCCATGCCTCTCACCAGGTTCTGGTCCCAGGCAGCCACCCCTGCATTCCCGGGCTCACGGCCAGGCCAGCCCGCCGCTGCCTCAGCCTCACACGGCTCTCTCCATGCGGGTGTGTGTCTGGGTCTTACAAGGACACTCGTTGTTGAAGTTAGGGCCATCCTAATGATCTCCTCTAGGGCTTCCATAGCGGCTCAGTGGTAAAGAACCCACCTGCTAACGCAGGAGACGGGTTCGGTCCCTGATTAGGAAGAGCCCCTGGAGGAGGAAATGGCAGCCCACTCCAGTATTCTTCCCTGGAGACTTTCCTGGACAGAGAAGCCTGGCGGGCTACAGTCCGTCGGGTCACAGGGTCAGATACAACTGAGCGTGCATGCACAGTTAGTGACCTCGTTTAGACTTGATTATACCTGCAATGGTCCCAGTTCCAAGTAAGGCCACATTCGCGGGCATTGGGGATGAGGACTTCAGCGACCTTTAGGAGGACACACTTCCATATGCAGCAGGAGCCAGCCCAGTCCCCAGAGCACCAGGTGGGTGGGGGGTACAGACGGGTCTCACCACACTGCAGCCCCACACCAGCTAGAAGCTTCCTTCACAACCACAGCCCCAGTCGAGAAAAGTCGCCCTGGTGGGTCTGTCTTCCGAAGAAGTGCAAGCTGAGGTCTTCTTTCATGTGTCTGGGGACAGGTTCTGCATCTCAACTGGTTACATGTGTGCGCACGCCTGTGACCATTCACCATGTGTGTGTGTCTGTGACCATTCACCACACGTGCACACACCTGTGACCATTCACCACACGTGCACATGTCTGTGACCATTCACTACGAATGCCCATGTCTGTGACCATTCACCACACGTGCACGTGTCTGTGACCATTCACCATGTGTGTGTGCGCATGTGACCATTAACCACGCATGTGCACATCTGTGACCATTTACCACACATGCACATGTCTGTGACCATTCACCACACATGCGTCTGTGACCATTCACCACACGTGCACACGTCTGTGACCATTCACCACACATGCATGTGTCTGTGACCATTCACCACGCGTGCACACGTCTGTGACCATTCACCACGCGTGCACATGTCTGTGACCATTCACCATGCGTGTGCACGCCTTTGACCATTCACCACGCGTGCACATGTCTGTGACCATTCACCATGCGTGTGCACGCCTTTGACCATTCACCACGCGTGCACACGTCTGTGACCATTCACCATGCATGCGCACACCTGTGACCACTCACCACGCGCGTGCCTTTGACCATTCACCACACGTGTACATGCCTGTGACCATTCACCATGCGTGCACATGTCTGCGACCATTCACCACGTGTAGCCGCACACCTAAGATCTGCATTTGTCCTGTGTGTCTGTGACATCTCAAAGATGCTTCAGGGTGGTTCTGGACCAAGTCCAGCACGTGCTTTCTGGGCGGGTACATGACAGGAATTCATAAGGACCCTGATCTAACACGGAGCTGAATCACTGTCTGACTTACATGATGTCTTGTGCTAACATACAGGCATTATTTCTCCGAGTTTATTCTGTGCCTACACTCAAGGTAAGAGTTTACCAGTAATGTACTTTTTCCATCTATTATTTATGTAGTAATTTTATTAACTTCATTTATTCATTATTTTATTTATTCTCTGAGCATCTCCTATGCCCCAGACATTGCAGTAATTGCTGAAGATGCGAAAATGATTCAGACCCAGTCCTCTCTGTGAACCTCAGTCTCTAGTCATGAGTCAGATAAACAGACAGCGGCACAAGCCGCTGTGAGTGCTGTGTCCAAGGGGCCAGCAGGGCAGCAGAACCCCCAAGAGGGGGCCTCAGGATCAGACAAAACCCCGGCAGCGAAGGGGGGACATTTGAGTGAAGGATGGAGTGGGAAATTTTAACCACAGATGTGAGGGTCAGGCATGTAGGTGAAAAATACATGATAAATTGTATATAGGATATATATGTTATATATGATAAAAATATATGATAAAGTGACGAGGAGACACACCTATGTATATGCAGACACACATGTATGTGCACGCATGCATGTGTGTGTGGTGTACATGTGCTGTACATATGGACTCTCCTGCACACGCCTGTGTACTCACTCTTGCACATGCACGCTCACTGGCGGGGCCCTCTCACTGAGCACTGACCAGGTTGCTCCATGAGGAGCAGGGCCGCTGGATTAGGAGTGGGATGTGATCTAAGCTCTGAGCGGCAGAAGCTGCCAGGACTGAAGCAGCTGCTGTGAGCAGAGAGGGCGGGGGAGGCCGCGCGCCTTGACCCTCGTGCCCTCTGCCTGCAGCTGGGAGAGCTGGTCCTCCAGGTGTGGGGTACCTGTCCTCCACCCTGGGGGGCCGCCTGCTGCCCCGGGGCCACTCCTGAGGCCGGGGCCGAGGCCCATCTGTTCTGCGACCATCACTACCTGTGCTGGATTCTCCAGCACTTCCGGGAGTCAGCTCCGGTGCCCACACGGTCTCTGCTTGCAGAGTGGGCAGGTGAGGCTGGTCACTGCAGTTCAGGCTGATGGGGTGGAAATCGAGGTGCAGACGCATGTCCTTGCCCACAGTCCACTGGTCTGCCCGATGCCAGGGCCCCTAGTCGGTCCAAGCTCAGGCTTCACTGCTCCTCTGGACTCTCACGTGGAGCCACATCCGGAGGGCAGCATCCTCCTCTTTATATCCCTCCTTGTACACTCACAGCAGCTCTAGAGGACGCAGGAAAACCACATGAGGGTCCCCCCGGCCAGTGGGGCCGGGTTCCCTCACCCCAGCCCCTCACCACCTACACCTCACCTGCAGCCAGGCTCCCAAGAGTGAGGGGCAGCTGCCCTCAGACCCGCAGGTGAGGCGTGAAGCCCCTGTGGAAGCTGCATCTTCCACACGCACCACCTCAGAGAACCTTGTACCAACCTCCGTCCTGGGAGCTCTGCCCTCTCTCCAGTGAGGAGCAGGCAGCCCCGCACAGCAAGAGTCTGTGAATCCTGGGGAGACCTGGGGGAGCACCTGCCCTGCCTCCTGCCTCCAAGTCCAGCCCTGCGTGGCTGGGCTCCTGGGGCGACCCTGGATGCCTCAGCCATTCGGGCCTCATATCCCCCAGCGTGCTGTCCACAGGTCAGGGTCACCAGAGACCGTAGGTGCTGGGGCCCAGGCTGGGAAGGGGGGAGCCGGGCCTGCCTACAGCCACAGCGACAGCCGTGGGTCTGACATCTGCGGTCAGGGCCCTCTGCTCCCTCTCCAGCCTCGAAGGTCAGTCTGGGTCCAGGGAAAGTCCACACCTCCGGGCGAGGGGCTGAAATCTAGCAGAGCCAAGCCCTGTCCTGGGAGGCCTCGTGGCTTCTACGGGGAGCCTGATGACACGGGCAACCCAGTTCCCGTCCCAGGCTCGGCCAGGCCCCAGGGCCAGGTGGTCATGGGCTGGACACAGGCACCACTGTCCTTCCTGCTGGGCAGGACCCTACATGCAAGTTCTGAGCTCTGCAATCCAACCAGAAGTGTACCTGAGAAAAGTGGCCACTGTTCAATTTACACTGAATGTTCACTGTCTTTCTAACACAGAAACAAGCACCTTCAGAGCAACCCAGCATCGAGGAATGTGTAGCTTAGTAATGAGTGCCTAGTTCCTAGACCAGCATCTAGGAATGAGTAACTTAGTAACGAGTACCTAGTTCCTAGACCAGCATCTGGGAATGAGTAACTTAGTAATGAGTACATAGCCCCTAGACCAGCATCTGGGAATGAGTAACTTAGTAACAAGTACCTAGCTCCTAGACCAGCATCTGGGAATGAGTAACTTAGTAACAAGTACCTAGCTCCTAGACCAGTGTCTGGGAATGAGTAACTTAGTAACGAGTACCTAGTTCCTAGACCAGTGTCTGGGAATGAGTAGCTTAGTAATGAGTACCTAGTTCCTAGACCAGCATCTGGGAATGAGTAGCTTAGTAACAAGTACCTAGCCCCTAGACCAGCATCTGGGAATGAGTAACTTAGTAACAAGTACCTAGCCCCTAGACCAGCGTCTGGGAATGAGTAACTTAGTAACAAGTACCTAGCCCCTAGACCAGCGTCTGGGAATGAGTCGCTTAGTAACGAGCACCTAGCTCCTAGACCAGCGTCTGGGAATGAGTAACTTAGTAATGAGTACCTAGCTCCTAGACCAGCGTCTGGGAATGAGTAACTTAGTAACGAGTACCTAGTTCCTAGACCAGTGTCTGGGAATGAGTAGCTTAGTAATGAGTACCTAGTTCCTAGACCAGCGTCTGGGAATGAGTAGCTTAGTAACAAGTACCTAGCCCCTAGACCAGCATCTGGGAATGAGTAACTTAGTAACAAGTACCTAGCCCCTAGACCAGCGTCTGGGAATGAGTAACTTAGTAACAAGTACCTAGCCCCTAGACCAGCGTCTGGGAATGAGTCGCTTAGTAACGAGCACCTAGCTCCCAGACCAGCGTCTGGGAATGAGTAACTTAGTAATGAGTACCTAGCTCCTAGACCAGCGTCTGGGAATGAGTAACTTAGTAACAAGTACCTAGCCCCTAGACCAGCGTCTGGGAATGAGTCGCTTAGTAACGAGCACCTACTTCCTCGACCAGCGTCTGGGAACCGGGAGCTGTAAGTGGGGAAACGAGAAGCTGAGTGGTTTCCATTCTGTAGGAAAGAACTCCAGGTTTAATTCAAAGTGCAAAAACAATGAGGCGCTGCCGGCAGCTCCCTCCACACTCTCTGAGCGATATTGAAGTCCCTCCTCGCTGGCCTCCCAGGCCGCCAGCGAGGACTCGGCTGCGGTCAGCACCGCCAGGAAGCTTCAGGCCTGAGGGGCGTGACGCTGGAGGACAGACGGAGGAAGACTCGCTGAGCCCCCCTGAGCTGGGCAGGGCCGGGGAGGCTGGCCGTCCACCGGAGGCCCACCGGGACCCCGTGCTCCTGCTCTCAATGCATCACAGTCCATGAAACCAAATGTGCAGCTGCCTTCCAGAGAAAAAGTGACCGGGAGCTGAGCGAGATCGGCGTGCGGAGGGCCTTCCCCGGCAGCGGCAGGGGAGACTCTGCTCCGGACACGGACCCAGGGGCCCGCCCGGTCAGGCCTCTCCCGGCTTCTCCTCCCTGCGCTCGCCTCAGCCTGGGCCGGCACCCACAGGGCCCAGCAGGGCAGCTGGTGGCCCCTGCCGGGGGTCTCGAGGGCCACGACCGCCCTCCCCGAGTCCGCCCAGCCCTCGTCACCCCCAGGCCATCCTGCACCTGGGGCGTCTGGTTACAACCGGGGAGCGTCCCCCTGCAAAAACGCCCGGAGGGTCAGGACCCCCGACCGCTGCCCCCACGGAGGAGGCCGAGGAGGAAAGGCCAAGGAGGAAAACGAGAGAAGGACCACGGCTCTGCAGCGTGGGGCTTCCAGGGGCCTCGAGCAGGCTCAGGAGACCCCGAGGGCTGTCTCCGCGCAGAGGAGAGGAGGAACGTGAGATGAGGAGAGAGAACCGCCAGGAACTCCCTGAAGGCCCGTAAGGTGCAGCCTCCCGGCTCTCACGTGACCCTCGCCCCAAACTGCCCCCCACACGGGGTTTACGGAGCCACAGGTTCATTCAGAGCCAGCTCAGCCCAGAGGCGAGACCTGCGCCCGGGAGTCTGGCGCCAAGGGCCCTTCCCTCCAGTCAGGGTCCCCCAGGCTCGAGCCCGCCCATCAGCTGCTGGCCCTGGGGCGGCCCTGCCCTTCCACGGGAGTCTCTTTCCCTCTGTCCCTCCTATTTTGCTTTTGCAGTGAAGGCTTACTTGTTTTTATGGCTGCCACGCAGTCTGAGAAAAACCCTCAAGAATTGCCTGGTCCTTCTAGGAAAATAGGCTCTGGGGGCCAGGAAGGGGGTGAGGTTCCAGAGCGAGAGGAGGAGGCGTCTGAAGCCGGGACACAGGGCGCCCACTCCCGCGTCCCCTTTGCCAAGGAGAGCCTCTGCTAGCTGCTCGCAGGCCTGTGAGCCTCCCTCCAGCTCGGTGCCCTGATCACGGCTGAGGCCAGGACTGCACAGCTAACCTGGGGCCACGTGGGGGCCCGGGGCTCAGATGCCCCAGGCCTCCCCCAGGCCTGCTGGCAGAGCCAGTCTTCAGTCAGCCCTTCCTGCCTGTGATGTCCACGCTCTGTCCTTCCTGAGGCAGAGACAGAAAGGCTGAGTGGTACATAGAGGTGAAGGAAAGGGGTCTTTTCCCCAAACCCGTAGACACTCTCCGCGGGCACCTGCTACAAGGACTTCTGAGGATGAAGGTGAAAGGGGCCAATCTGTGCACCTTTGTCTGTGAGAGGGGGAGGGGGGAGGGGAGGGGGAGGAGCAGGAAGGAGGAGAGTGGGGGAGAAGGGGAGAGGGAATGGGAGGAGGCGGAAAGAGAGGGACAGAAGGTGGGGGAAGGGAGGAGGGGGAGGGAATGAAGGGGAGGCTGGGGTGGGAGGCAGCAACCCTCCGCCCCAGGGCTGGCTTCAGCTTCGGGAAGAGCTGAAAGCCCCGCCTGCCCAGCCAAGTTTGTTAGATGGCTAGAGCATCCATCCTTTGTTCTTCCGCGTGGGGGGCATGGAGAACACGGAGCAGAGAGCCCCTGGCCTGGGCTCCTGCAAAGCGCAGTGGGCACCGAGGGCAGGGTTTCTCCCGCTGACCTGCCCCATGCCCCCCCTGGGACTCCAGCCATGGACCGGGGTGCGGTCCAGAAGTCCCAGCACACAGTCGCACCAGACAGACCCCAGCAAACCCCTCATCCATGCAGGCCCATCCACCGCACCCTCCTTGCCCTGGACCCGCTGGAAGCCACAGAAGCAGTTGACTCAGGCGCCTCCTGTGTGAGCTGGGGGCACGACTGAGGCCCTGACTTCACCTGCAGGAGGACGGGAGGGACAGGGAGGGACAGGGCGGGCTGAGCAGGGGTCCCTCCCCCGCCCCAGGGCAGGCGGATCAGGGCTGCAGCTTATGCGTGCCCCTGGGGCCCTAGGCCGATATCGCTGCCCTGGCTCAGACTTCCAGGCCTGTCGCTGCTGCTAGGGATGCAGACCACTGAGTCAGAAGCTCCTGGGGCGGGCCTGGACCAGGTCCGGAAGGGCAGGCAGGGGTCCAGGTGGCCAAGCTCTGTTCTGGGCATGAGGATGCCGTTTCTGCCGGAAAAAGTCTCCCCATGGAATCCTGCGGCTAGAACTGAAGTGAAGGCGCTTTAATTCCAATGACTTCCACCCATTTCTGGGCCATGGATGTTTTTACTTGTGATCCCACTGTGCACTGGGGCAGATGGACACACAGCTGCTCTGATGGTAGAGGGTGAGGTGCCCCCTGCGGCCCGGGGTCTCTCGTGAACCCCCAGGGCCCCACCCATAGCTCTCCAACCACCACGTGATCACACTCCCACCTCGACTGGTAGAATCCTTCTTTATTGCAAAACGAACTATTGATATTTTAAGCATGTAGAGGCTCAAATGACCATCTTTCCACCTATTTCCAGTTTTTAAAGGACATATTTGCTATTGATCTATGCAGTCATCACACATTTTAGGCAAAAACCCCAACAGAAATGGGGACTCACCTCCGGTCAGCCTGTGCCTTTCTAGCTGTAGATCAGGTTCTAATTGTGTGACCTTGAGGAACTTACTTGCCCTTTCTGAATCTTATTTATTTATCTGCAAAATAAAAGTAGCAACAATACTGACCTCACGGGGTGACTGAATGAATTAAAGTTCTCACTGTCTTATTGGGCACATGATGAAGTGTCAGTAAAGTTAGGTGTTACTATGACTGGCGGAAGTTGGTGTTCTTAGCTGGTGTTTCTGAGATGTTCTTGTTGCTGAGCAGAGATCAGCAGAGCTGAGGACGTCTCAGCCATGTCCTTGGAGTCCCTGGAATGGCCAGTGGGGTCCTCCTGTCTGCACAGAGACGACAGGGCCTTCAGCTAAGACCTCCTTCCCTGTCCAGCCACCGGACATAGGCCCACCCTGTCTCCCTGTTGCCTTCTGTAGCTCCTCCGGCCTCCGCCTGGTGGTGCCTGCCCAGGGTCCCCGCCGTCCCTGCCCGCACCTGCCCCTCCGAGTCCTCTCTCCACACCAGCTCTCATCCGCCCGACAGACAGGAAACCCTCCAACCCCACGCGCACTCCTGCTGCCTCCCTGCCTTATTCTCCACACCTCACCTCCCCAAGAGGTGTGACCTCTTCCGTGTGACCTCCGCCCAGTTAATTCTTCATAGCTAGTCCTCTGGGGGCTCCCCAGAACCAGGCCCCCTCCCAGCCAAACTGAATGAAAAGCTTTCAGTTCTCACTTTCCTGAATCTTTTCACAATAGGAAAATGCTGATGACTCCCTTGTTTACTTAAAAAGTCTCTGCCCCAGCTTCCTTGACACCAAATGCCAGGTTTTCACCTTGCCCAGCGTGTCTGTTAGTCTGCCCTGGACACCGTAACGAAGCGCTGCAGGTGAGGCAGCTTCAGGAACAGCAGTGGACTCTCTCGGTCCTGGAGGCCGGACGTCTGAGACCAAGGTGAACGCAGGACGGGTTTCTCCCGGGCCTTCGGCTCGGTTTGCAGGCAGCCTGAGTTCTCACAGTCGTTCCTGTGCATGAGTTTCTGTCCTTCCACGTGCTCCAGCTTCCTGTTCTTACAGGGCACCAGTGCTGTTTGATTAGAGTGTCCCTGACGGCTTCACTGTAACTAATCAGCTCTGAAGGGCCCAGCCTCAGAGGCGGTCACATCGGTGACCACAAAGTGCGGAAGCCTGACACCCAGAACACCGGGGCACGCTTCAGCCTGTAACACCAAGTCTTCCTGATGAGTCTCTGCCCCGACCTGCTGACCCCCAGGGTCCTGCCCGGGACCGCAGCCCCGGGCGGTCCCAGCCCCTCCCGGCCCTCATCAGTGGACAGTCAATCACCCACCGGCCGCAGGGCGTGGGTCTCACACGGGCCTCTTCGACTCAGCGCTGTCGATACCCAGAACCTGTCTTTCCTCCATGGTCAGCGCCTGTTTATGTTCTGCGTCCCACATCTCGGTGGATTCATTTAGGTATTGCACTACCACCCTTCGTCCTTCCACAGCTACTCCTTGAGCTCAGCGTTTGCACTCTCAGGACTTACTAGAGTGAGAATGTCAGAAACAAGGAATGTTTCATCTACCAGGAGCGCTGGGAAGGAGACTCAGAGGCAGGAGAGCTCGCCCCACAGAGGCTGGGCCAGTCCACAGGGAAGCGGGATTCTGAGCCTGAGTCCAGCTCATCAGCTCAGTGTAGGGTTAACACTGTGTTAACCAGTTAACCCAGTGTAACACCCAGGGTTAGTGTTGGGGAAGACTCTTGAGAGTCCCTCAGACTGCAAGGAGATCCAACCAGTCCATCCTAAAGGAGATCAATCCTGACTGTTCTTTGGAAGGATTGATGGTGAAGCTGAAACTCCAATCTTTTGGCCACCTGATGCAAAGAGCTGACTCATTGGAAAAGACCCTGATGTTGGGAAGGATTGAGGGCAGGAGGAGAAGGGGACGATAGAGGATGAGATGGTTGGATGGCATCACTGACTCAATGGACATGGGTTTGAGCAAGCTCTAGGAGTTGGTGATGGACAGGGAGGCCTGGCGTGCTGGGGTTCATGGGGTCGCAAAGAGTCGGACACAACTGAGCAACTGAACTGAACTGAAGCTTGAGGAAGCGCACTTGAGGGAGGCAAGAAGGAGAAAAGTGGACCCAGAGTGGGGAGGACAGAGCCCCCCAAGGGGAGAGCATGGACCAGAGCCAGACTGGCTGCTTGAGAAGCAGAAGGAGGCCAAAGCACACGGGCATTGGGAGACACGCTGAGGATATTTTGTTCTTTTTTTGCAAAAAGTAATAGGCACTCATTGAGGGCCTTACATAGTGGGGTGACTTTATAAACTGAGATGCCAGAGAATAATGACTCTGACTACGGAGGAGGGATGGGCCCGGGGGTCCGAGGCAGGCAAGCCCTGACGCCATCGCAGTGGTCCTGGCCAGCAGTGAGGGGCTTTGTCTAGAGCAGCACTGATTAGAAGAGTGCAGACAGGAGACAAGCGGGACACAACGCTGCACCCCGTGGTGACAGAGCGAGCCTGAGAGGCAAGAGAAAGAACGGCGTCCGCGTGGTTCTCTGGCTTCTGGCCGGGACCGCTGCTTGGAGAGTGAGCCTGCGGTGAGCAGAGAGGTCTGGGCACACTAGAGCCATCGGGGGAGCGGAAACTTGGCTCAGGGATCAGCTCCGGCGTGGGGTGGGGGGAGCCCAGCCTGTGGGGGCAGGCGGGCGGCACAGGAGCGGTTTTGGAAGAGAGGACAGAGCCGGTCCGGGGAGAGGGCGCAGAGTGAGCCAGGGCGCAGGCGCTCCGCGGTCTCTGTGCCGCATGGGGAGGCGGGCACCTACGGCGCCTGAAGGCCGGGCCGCGGGGCGTGTGCAGAGCAGCCCGGCCATCAGCTTTGCTGAGCTGGAGAGCTGTGCCTGAACTCAGCAGCCTGAGGCCACCGTCTGTCTGGGCCACAGCCCTGACCAATCGTGATGGAGGCAGCAACCAGGCTGGGACTCAGGGCGGGAGAAGGGGCGGGAGAAGGCGGCTGGGATGGAGCAGAAGCCGGAAGTGGGTGTGGGGCCATGCTGGGCCATTCACCTGTTTCTAAGAAGGAATTCCTGGATGCAGGGGATGGGAGAACTGTCCTCCACGCGCCCCACTTAAGAGCTCAAGACCCATTACTTCTCAGGCAGGCGGTGTTGGTGACTGACAGTCCGAACCTGAGTCTCTGTTAGACTCTGCTTGATTTTTTTTGAAAATTTTATTTATCTGTTTTTTGCTGTGCTGGGTCCTTTGCTGCGTGGGCTTTTCTCTAGTTGTCACGAGCGGGGCGGCTCCTCTGGGTGCTGTGTGCAGCTTCTCACCGGGATGGCTCCTCTCGCTGCAGAACACGGGCTCAACAGCGGTGGCTCGCGGGCGGAGCTGCCGAAGGCGTGTGGGAGCCTCCCCGATGAGGGATCAAGCCCGCGGGTCCTGATTCTTCACCACGGAGCCCCCAGGGAGGCCCCGAGGCTCTGCGTTTGACTGACAAGCCGTGTCGTGTCCACACTCGCCCCTTCATGGGGCATCTCGTCAGCACTGCCGTCAGCTGGGCCATGAAGACCGAGCTCGCATCCCTCCCTGAGGAAGTGCGGAGGGGTCACGCCAGCTCCAGGGCTCCCCAGGAGGGGCTGGGGGCTACGGGGCAGCCCGGTCCTCCGCTCAGGTGTTAGTCCGAAGATCGCTCATCACAAAGCCCCTTTCCCAGGAACCCCTCTGTGATCGCCACGAGACCCCTCCTCCGCCAGGCCCGCTCTGCTCCTCTGAGCCCCGGGGATCCCAGCAGAGCCGGCACAGCCTCCAGGAAGCCGACCCGGGCCAGCCCTGATGTGTTCCTGTCACAGCAGCCGCCCTCACTAGTCACGCGGAGCTCCGTTTGCAGTCACGCGTGGCACTGATTGATTAAAACAGAGAGTCGCTAAAATACGTGCCATCCCGGGGCATACACGGGCTTTCCCACGATCTCAATGACGTCAGAAATCAAGTGCATCCTGCAGCCACACTGCGTTTCCCATCCTGACATTTATTTTATGGATTAAAATAAATGGATTTATTTTAATGTATGATTAAAGCAGTTTTAATTCATGATGGCTGGAAAAAAACGAAAAATAGTTTTTTTGAATGTGCCAACATGAAAGAAAGAAAGATTATTAACCTGCATGATACAATTCAAACTTTACAAGTTAAAATGCCTTCAACTACATGATCTAAGAGTGAAAGACAGAGCAATGAATATGCAGCCAGGAACTGGTAAAATTGCTTTAATAATGTGAAGAGCATCATAAACGTTGCCCAAGCTGGGAGTATTGGCCAACAATTGCAGTATTAACGCTCACTGAGTAAAGCTATAGACGCGGGGTTTTTATATTATTGGAAACCTGAAGGAAAGGAAAAGTCACGGCCAATGTTAGGGTGGTTTATTACAACTACTAGTTCCAGGAAGGAGAAGGCAATGGCAACCCACTCCAGCACTCTTGCCTGGGAAATCCCATGGACGGAGGAGCCTCGTAGGCTACAGTCCGTGGGGTCGCTAAGAGTTGGACATGACTAAGCGACTTCACTTTCACTTTTCACTTTCATGCACTGGAGAAGGAAATGGCAACCCACTCCAGTGTTCTTGCCTGGAGAATCCCAGGGACGGGAGCCTGGTAGGCTGCCATCTATGGGGTCCCACGGAGTTGGACACGACTGATGTGACTTAGCAGTAGCAGCAGCAGCAGTTCCAGGAAAGTCACATCCTTGCTGAACAGAGTCTATGTATATTGTTATTATCTTTTGACATTGTTTATCAGCTACAAAGTGAATTTTGGAAACACAGGATCATTCTTATATTTTTCATGTTGTACCTCCAGTACCTACTGTAGAGTCAGTTCAGTTCAGTCACTCTGTCGTATCTTACTCTGCGACCCCATGGACTGCAGCACACCTGGCCTCCCTGTCCATCACCAACTTCTGGAGTTTACTCAAACTCATGTGCATTGAGTCGGTGATGACATCCAACCATCTCATCCTCTGTTGTCCCCTTCTCCTCCTGCCTTCAATCTTTCCCAGCACTAGGGTCTTTTCAAATGACTCATTTTTTCCCACCAGATGGCCAAAGGATTGGAGTTTCAGCTTCAACATCAGTCCTTCCAATGAATATTCAGGACTGATTTGCTTAAGGATGGACTGGTTGGATCTCCTTGCAGTCCAAGGGACTCTCAGGAGTCTTCTCCAACACCACAGTTCAAAAGCATTAATTCTTCGGTGCTCAGCTTTTTTATGGTCCAATTCTCACATCCATACATGACCACTGGAAAAACCATAGCCTTGACTAGATGGATGTTTATTTGCAAAGTAATGTCTCTGCTTTTTAATGTGCTATCTAGGTTGGTCATAACTTTCCTTCCAAGGAGTAAGCGTCTTTTAATTTCATGGCTGCAATCACCATCTGCAGTGATTTTGGAGCCCAAAGAAATAAAGTTGGCCACTGTTTCCACTGTTTCCCCATCTATTTGCCATTAAGTGATGGAACCAGATGTCATGATCTTTGTTTTCTGAGTATTGAGCTTTAAGTCAACTTTTTCACTCTCCTCTTTCACTTTCATCTTTACTTCTTCTTCACTTTCTGCCATAAGGGTGGTGTCATCTGCATATCTGAGGCTATTGATATTTATCCTGGCAATCTTGATTCCAGCTTGTGCTTCTTCCAGCCCAGCATTTCCTATGATGTACTCTGCATATAAGTTAAATAAGCAAAGTGACAATATACAGCCTTGACGTACTCCTTTTCCTATTTGGAACCAGTCTGTTGTTCCATGTCTAGTTCTAACTATTGCTTCCTGACCTGCACACAGGTTTCTCAAGAGGCAGGTCAGGTGGTCTGGTATTCCCATCTCTTTCAGAATTTTCCAGTTTCTTGTGATCCACACCGTCAAAGGCTTTGGCATAGTCAATAAAGCAGAAAGAGATGTTTTTCTGGAACTCTTTTGCTTTTTTGATGATCCAGCGGATGTTGGCAATTTGATCTCTGGTTCCTCTGCCTTTTCTGAATCTAGCTTGAACATCTAGAAGTT